GAAAGAGTGCAAAAATAAAGTTGTACGTCCTCCTGCATTGTCCAGATGTCCTCCGATATTATCCAGCAATTGCTTAAAGACCTAGTGCACCAAAGGTGATACCTTTGTGTTTGACAGCCTGTACCGTACAGAAATTTTCTTCAGTTAGCTTCCCTAATCATTCATGAATCTATTTACCACAGTTATTTGACATAACAGAAATTTTTTAAAGTTTGCATCTGGAATGTTTGATCCAAAGTTGCTAATATTTCACATCACATTCCAGGTTTGCCGTTCTGCCATTAACCTCCTAATGGCACAGATAACGACTTTAGGTGCACAGCATCCACATGGACTCGGCAGGAGTGATATTCTAATTTTGGTAGCCTAATGTCTCAATTTCAGTCCATCATGCTCTGGAGATAACATCTGAAATGACATCAAAGCTGGAGAAATCTGTTGATGAAATCTGAGAAAGTAAGGTTATACGTCTGCCTCAAATAAAGATTTCACCTAAACTTAGGGTAGCCTCTGCACATCTAGGGCTTTCCAGTTTCCCTCCTGCTTTGCTGAATAGCGCCTATAATGTGGTCAGGCACTTATTTCACGCAAGTTTGGTTGCTCGATATGTAGAAGCTGCGAAAGAGCCACAAGATGTGCAAAGACATTCCCGTGGTATCTGAAATTATTTCACTCTGGGATGTTAAATTAAATTAGAATATCATTTCAAAACTCTCTACACATTTATGTTCTAAAATATTTCCTTCTGATTTAAGACGAAGAATGGACAGTGATCTGCCAGGCTCTTGTGTTTAGGAAGTCATAAATTACTGAAAGGTGCTGAAAAGTGCCTCTTGGAATGGGAGAACACTCTCAACCATGTAGCACATTTTTACATAGCTTCCATGGGAAAAAAAAAGTTTAAAATAAAATAAAGCAATTTTATTTGAATGACTCATTTTGCAACCCTGTATTGATAGCACACAGAAACGCTTCTAAACCATTTATGACTCTATTTGAGTTTGGAAAAGCCCATCCTGTGGCACCCTGTCTCAGGGTCGCACAGCCTTGAAATGGAAAAATCCCAGGATTAGCTTGGCCTCACGATAACAGCATGGTTCTTCCTTGTGGACAGATGTTCATAACTGCTCTGTCCAGTGTAGCTTTAAATAAGCCAAGTTGATGGGGCTTCTGCCATCTCAATAACTAAGTTATTTCACTGAGATAAATCACTTCTTGATATTCAGCCAAATTTCTTACCCATCATTTCACAGTCTCATTACTCCTACTTATATTCCCATTTATTATTGTAAATAATTTCTCTTTCAATTATTATAATGATTATGCCACCCTATTACACATCAGTTAAGCAACTTCTCTGCCTATCCAAAAAAATGTTAACACACTACCAAGCTATTTTAAAGCTCTGTATTTAAGGAGTGGGGAATGCAATTCCTGTTTCAGTTCCAATACAAACCTATAACCTAAAGACAAAGGCTGACACAGAGGTATGGAACTGAAGCATTCTCCTTTGGTTGCAAATGGGTACGTGGTAGGAAATTGTGTTTGAAATGAGGTGTGCATTAGGTATTGTGAATAGAAAAATTGTACAAAAAGCTTGTGGGATCAAGTAAGAAACCATATGAGTGTCCCTCAATAATAAAAATGTATCAGAAAGAGACCAATCTGCAGATTGTAAACAGCAAAGCAAGAGAGGAGAAAAAGCTAAGAGAAACTTCTCCTGGGGACTGTGAAGCGATATGCTGAGAGGATGAGAGGAGCATCAGATCTTGGGCATCAGGAGCTACGTTAAGTGTAAATGGTCAGTAGACACAGGCTCAGGTAAGAACTTTATACAGGAAAGAAAAGAAGCATGCAAAATTAGTCCAGAGAACTGAAGGAAGTGGCAGCCTTTATCCACCTCTACATGGCTACAAAGATGGCAACAAACAAAGCTTAAAAATGAAACTACCAAAACTGATTCTGAGATCAACAGCAGAGCATCCATCAAACAATAGAACCCAAGGAAAACCATTTGTTCCATCACAAAGCTTGTAGGTCACCTTACCAGGAGACAGCTGATCAAAATGCTGTAGGCAGAGCCGCTGTGGATGGGTGGTCATCAGTTGTCTCTTTGGCACCCTTTCTGCCCACTCGAGTCCTGTGAGTGGCTCATTGAAAGACTATCACATAAAAAGCAAGGGAAAGTGTGAAGATGGGAACCGTTGCCAACAACAAAAGAGTAAGAGTGTTTTCTACACAAATGGGAATGCGTGTAAACATACTCCTGCCTTTCACAGAGCTGATCACCTTTTTGGACTTTCCCATTAGTAACGGCAAAGAGAAGGAAAAATGCACAGTGGAGAAAAGCAAGGATGAAAGCAGACACAAACATAGAAATTGCAACCATTTTGATTTCCAAAATTTAAATGAAAAGCAAAGCTCATCAAGATTTAACTTAATTTAAAAATATTGATTCCAATTATTTCTTTAGCAGATTTGTTGGAAAACTGAAAAATTGCATGAAAATCAGAAGACTGGAAGATATTTTTCTTTTTGGTAGTAAAATTTTCCTACTGAAACGGTCACTTCCAATGTAAGGGTTGACTTGTAAGATTTGACAATAACACTTCATTTTGTAACTTCTATAGTGATGTTTTCAATGATTTTTAATCTGACATACTGAGCTCGCATTACATCTGAGGTAGTTAGCTATTCATTAGATAACTGAAATACCTAACTCCCACTTCTAATGATAACAGTCCTCTTTGGTATGCCTCTTGCTAATATATTTCTGTAGAAATATTTATCTTGTAATCTTTTGATTCTTTCGACCAAAGGAAGTGACTGAAAATCAAAGAAGAATGTGTCATATTTTACAGCGTAAGCACAATCAATTTGTGTATATTGAAGCATAGATGTGAAATAGCGTTAATTATACCAGCTAAAATCCAGAGAGAGCACTTCCTTTTATAGCAAAGTACCTTCTAAATTAAACAAATGTGAAAGCCTGGTAAAGGAAAAGTATAGCCCTCATTACTAGTTATGGCGCATTATAAATATAAAAGCTTTTCATGCCATAAATTGTAGAATCTTAAATATGAAGTACTAGCTTAAAACTAAATACGCAGAAAATACTTTTAAGGCAAAACATAAAAAGGGAAGTATGTCTTGATGTGTAAACTATATATATCTTTAATATTATTTTACATTTTAACTTAAAAAAAAAAAAATTTGAGATTTCTCAAACAATTACACTAATATATCCGTCAATATTGTGCCAGGGGCAATGGCACCATTTCCTGCACAATGACAAAATCCCTCAACTTGCGCAGCTTCACGCCTGTGGATGGTTTTCATGGCGTTCATCATATTAGCCCACTACTAAGTCCTGGGAATGAGTAGCCCTCCCAGAGGTGCTCTTCTTTTTTAAGGTCTGTAGGAGTTTATACATCTCTAAGCGTCCAGTGACTGCTGAACGTAACCCAACAGCTTCGCTCCCTGCGAACAACATGGCCAGTCCGTAGTGATGAACACTCTGACACCAGAGGACGTCCTCCAGCGTCTCCCAGCATTTCCTAGGGTCACAGCTAGCATA